TCTTCTGCCAAATTTAGGGTTTTGAAATGTGGATTAACAATGTCTCAGTCTGAAGAAACTCCGATCTCCGACTCTACTCCCACCGATTCCGCCCTTCACTTAGGGCTCCCCTCGCTCGATCCCGATCTTACTGCGAATCCTGACCCCTCACCTTCTGATCTCAATCACTCGGCTCAGGAAACGGAGCACGACCAAAGCAATCTCGAGCAGCAGCTCCAGTACCTCGATTTGAAGGAGGAGGAAGGGGAAGAGGAGGAGGGGATGAAGAAGCTGAGAAGAAAGATGACGGAGAGAGAGAGAGCGACAACGAAGCGGGCGTGGACGCTACCGAGACGACGAAGATGAGGTGGAGGAGAAAAACGAGTACGAGGATGATGATGATGAAAACGTGAAGAATGAAGGAAGGAGGTCGCATTATCCGGTGAGACCGGAAGCAGAGGATTGCGCTTATTATATGAAAACTGGACTTTGCAAATTTGGATCTAATTGCAAGTTTAATCACCCTGTTCGAAGGAAGATCCAGGTCTTTCTCTCACCTTATTATTATTATTATTATTTTATTTTTATTTTATCATCTTTAAATGTGCTGAAAATGTTCTTCGTTTAGCTGGAAGGAGCTGTTTTTGGCTGTCTATATTTCGTGCGGCTATATTAATGTGGTATTTGTGAAAGATGGTTTTTTTATTGATTTTTTTTCTAATTGTTTTTTATGCTGTGATTGGTAAATTTTATGAAAAAAATGCACGTCTTTCTTTTGTTAATTCGTGTGAGACGATTGTTGGTGTAATGCCCTGAGGAAAATGTAACTATTTCTGCATCAGTCTGCTTGTGGGAATGCAATTCATCTTTCTGGCTGAAGTAGCTATTCATTAATTGAGATCAAATTAAATATTGGGAATCTTCATGCATGGATATAAATAAAATTTATATTTTTTGGTATATATTGGGCTGAGCTGCAATTGATACCCTCCCCTATCCCTTAACAACTGTGATTTTGGGTGTTTTCTCAGTTTATTTTTAGCTACAAACCTACATTAGTCATCCTGTGCTGACTTTTTCATTCTGGGTGTGTTGAATTATGATGTTTGAAGGCTGTGAAGGAAAAGGTCAAGGAAAAGGATGAATCAACAGAGAAACCAATCCAGACAGAATGCAAGGTCAATATTCTTAATTCTTGTTTGCAAAATGTGCTCTTTATGATCTTAACTGCCAACATGATGATGAATGCTGCAAATTTGATTTGCAGTGGTTCCGTATGTTCTGTTTTTTGTTTTGGAAACAGGTTTTTCTGCTCTCAGTTTGCGTATTTGAAAGCATTTGACAAGTGTGACAGTTTGAGTATGAGGCTTATAAAGTGTGCTATTTCATTTCAGGCAATTTAGTCAATGAACTAGTGGATTTTTCTTTTATTATTTCAATAAAGCCTAGCATTCTCCTAATAGTGTAGAAGGACAAAGATAGTAACAGATCTATTGGTAGGCTATGGTTTACTATGGCCTATAACATATCTATTAGTGTTTGTTCAGATGGTTCTGAAACTCTTCTTTATCTATTTTAAGCTATGTCTATAAGAAATGTGCGTAGGTCAATAGTAACATTCTGTCGTGTTTCAATTTTGCTCGAAATTTTTGCAGTATTACCTAAGAACTGGTGGATGTAAGTTTGGGAAGGCTTGTAGATACAACCACTCAAGAGCAAAAACTGCGGTGGCTCCAATTTTAGAGCTTAACTTTCTGGGCCTGCCTATCCGACCGGTATCACTTCTGTTTTTACTGTTTTAATGGAATTTTGCCGGATGCCATCGCTTGAGTCCTGATGTTCCATTGCATTTCTTCTACAATCGGCCACATGTTTTGAGATTTATTTTTAGTGATTAATCATGAATAATTGGAATAATCATTCTGGAAATATGAAAGTTTTAAATCATCACAGGGAGAGAAAGAGTGCCCCTATTACATGCGTAATGGGTCCTGCAAGTATGGGGCTAACTGCAGATTTAATCATCCTGATCCTACAACTGCCGGAGCTTGTGACCCACCTTCGGGATACGGTAATGGTGGATCTGTTTCATCACAAGCTGCATCACAAGTGAATATAGCGTCCTGGTCATCACCAAGGACATTGAATGAGACTGCCTATATGCCAATGATGTTTTCACCAACGCAAGGTGTTCCGCCTCCAAATCCGGAATGGAATGGGTATCAGGTACTATCCTTGCTCTTATGCTGTTTAAGTTCTGTTACTTTAATCAATAGCATCTATTGAGTTTATCTTAGCATTACTCGGCCCTTACCTTCCCCCCCGGATGTTGTATATGGTTTTCCCAGATTGTACTTGTTTTTTTACCCCTGAAGTACTACAGTGTGTATCTCTATATATCATATCTTAAATGTGTAAAATTGCTCGTATCTTGAACATATAGACTGCATGTAATGGAATGCATAATTTGGTTCAGGTTATCATAATCCCCTGCATTGAGAAATAATCATAGTATTATGCAATTCTTACTGGTGACAATTGACAGACACATCCATATTCAGATAATGAATGGAATATTTCAATAGTTTGGTTAGAACTAGTTTCTAGAGGTGCTTATATTCTATTTGGCCTGCTTTAGAACTTTTTTGTTGAAAATTGTGCTGTCTTTCAACCTTTGCCAGGGTGAAGCTAGGTCACTTTGTTATCTCAAGGTCTTAAACACATGCACATGTAGGCAGAATCATGTATAGGCCTTGTACGGGGGCACAGGTGGACAAATATTGGACTTTCATGCTTATTTAGTTGAAAGACTGTTAAAATTCATGCTTTGGCGGAGTAAAATATGTTGAGACACCGAAGAAGACTGAGTAGAACCTTGATGTTGGTTCAGTTAATGGATAATGGATTTTTTTTTATGTGGTTTATTTATGTTGCTTTTGCATTAAAAAGTATTGGAAATTAGTTGGTGGATTAGATATACTAATTGCTTGACAGTCTATAGTGTAAGATGTTATTAGGCACATGAAAGTGGAGAATCAGACAAGTTGTAATCATCCCTCATCTCTCATCCCCATCCCTCATCCCACCACATATTTAGTGCTTGATTTACTTTTTGACCTTTTATTTGTTTTACCGCAATAATTTTTAGACAAGATTATGCTTTTAATATTCTGGTGGGTTTAATTCTGGCTCTGCATATTAATTACTGTCGGAAAGTAGCTTTGCCTTCTGAGAAATTGTAATTTGATATGTTTCTGCATAATGACTTGATCCTGTTGTTCTTTGTCTAGACGACTGTATATCCCCCTGAAAGGAATTTGCATCCAACTCCAGCATATGTCATGAACAACCCATCAACCGAAACCACTGTCTATACTCATCATCAGCCACAGATGCTAGTTGATGAATTCCCAGTTCGGCCTGGCCAGCCCGAGTGCAGTTACTTCATGAAAACTGGGGACTGTAAGTTTAAATCTAATTGCAAATATCATCATCCAAAAAATCGAGTTGCAAAGCCATCCCCATGTACTCTCAGTGACAAGGGCTTACCACTGAGACCGGTAAGTTTATGTTCCTTTACTTTGTGCTTCTTATGAAATATATATAAACACAGTAGATGTTTAAAAGCTTTTTCAAATGATCTCACAATTTTTCTGCCTCATATCTCTTTGTCACCTTAGCTAGTGCAATGGGCCTTCTTTTCTTCTCTAGTAATTTAAAACAAATTTGTTGTGAAATGTCAATAAATTTGCATGTTTTAGAAGTTGGTACTTGATTTGTTGAACTGGGTAATGATTGAAACAAGATGTTCTGTTCGGCAAATGAATGTCTACGGAGAAAGAGCCTTTGGAGAAAGGCTTGCACATTATCTCTTTGTCACACTCTGTGCATTCAAGATTAGCCCTCACTGGATATTATACAGATCTCTCTTGTTAATGGGTTTGTGTTTTCAGTGATAACAATTAAGTTCTCAGTTCTTATCACATTTTAAGATTTAATGCTTTGATTGTGATAGACCTTTGTTTTTGAAATCCAGGATCAAAGCATCTGCTCGCATTACAGTCGCTATGGCATTTGCAAGTTTGGGCCAGCCTGTAAATTTGACCATTCAGTACAGGCAGCTCCTTCAGCGGTGTCTGGACTAGATCAGCCTCTACCATTCAGCAATTCTGCAGCTACAGAAGAGAGTGGAATTGCTGGAAGTAATGGTACTGATACTGCAGTTCAGCAGTCTGTGTAAAAAGATTTTCGTCAAAGGCTCCCTAGCTCTTAGATCTCACATTAGCAAGGATTCTAAGTTTTCCTTTTTAAATTGGAAGTCTATTTAACTTTTTTTTTTTGACCTTTTTCCACTGCCACAAGCTTTTTAGGGGATGGCATTATATATATATATATATATATATATATATATCACATACTTATCATGTGTTGTGTTGCTAGTGCTACAAAGCTCAAGTCGAAATCAGGATTTGTAAATTATCTCAGTTTCGTGTCTTATCATGTAGTAATGCAAGTGAAAGTTGGGATTATCTTTTTCATGCCCATGAAGCCCTGCCAGGCTCCGTTGACTTCAATCATTGTATTGTCATAGGCAGGGAATGGCCTCAACCCAAACAGGGTTTGCAGGCTAAGCCCAAGTCGAAAGTGGTTCCACTCCTAATAAATTAAATTCCTGAACAGTGACCCAAGGTGGTAAAACTTAAAAACATGGCAAGCTATGATATCTCTACTTCTGTAATTGCAATATGTATGTTCAAACGGGTGACAACGATGCTGTGCTGGAGATAGATACAATGCCTTGTCGAAGTAAAATTTTAATCAACTAAGTTTAGAAGCGTTTGAGAATAAATAGGGTGTGACCCTCAACTGAAATATATGCTTAGAAAATCATCTATGGCATGGCGTCCCAAGCATTGACCGTGAACTTGGATTTTAAACCCCGCTGCCTTTTGTTTACATTTGTTCCTCTACAATTCATTTAAACTACCCATCATACTAAATGTGGTAATGAATTTCACAAATTAATTGAACAGCAATGCAATTTCATTTTTCCCAGAAGTGATCAATAAAATTATAATGATAATACTATACAATACATTCCTCAAGGGATGTCTACTCAGAAATTGACTGCTTTAATAGGTAAGTTGTCTTTAGATCCATCTCCTTCGTCTCTTCACTCAAAGGTTCGAATATCAAAAGCGAAGAGCAAAGCAAGCCAATGAGGTTTTAAAAGGGAAAAAAGAGAAAATGAAAAAGAAGAGCCATAATAAAATAATCGAGGACTAGAAAGGAAGCCAGGCGGGTATACAAGGGAAAGGGTGCTTTTTCCACCCAATATATATATATATATACTGGCATCACCAACCATTCAATTCCATCGCCCCAAAGGCATTATTATACTCGAACACAGCAAAACCATTTAGCCTGAGAACCCAAAAAAGACAAAACACAAAGAAGGGTATAATAAATAAACAAACAAAGCCAAGGAAGAAATAGTGATAGCATGCATTGCATACCTTTCGAGGAGACGGGGAAGGGTCGGTCACATTTTCAGTTTTATCAGTGGTAGGGGACATGATTGTGCCAGCACTGCCTCTGGTTTTCTTCTCTTGTCTAGCCTTGTTGAATATAACCGTAAACCCTTCCGCCGTTGCTGGGTTATTTACATCCCACTCTCCAAATTTAGGCAGCGGTCTCCCTCTCTCCTGCTCAAACCCAATCCCAATCAAATATCACTAATAAATCAAACCTTTATTTTTCTTTTTTTTTTGCATGTCAAATGAAATGAAGAAGACATTAACAAATGTAGAGTTTCTTGCAATGTTAAATCGCTTCAACTGGAAATAGATTTACAAATCCGAAAATGACTTGGTTACATCTATCTATGATCACATTTATAGATTAGACAAAAAAGAAAGAGAGGGAGAGACAATATTGGCTTCCTGTCGGAACCATACTTTCAACAATGAATGAGGAATGATGTGAAACAAAGGATCAAACAAAACCCAATTGAACTTAAGACCCTAACTTTCAAACCCAGATATCTATATCATGTTACATTACAGCAATGACCTTTTCAAAAGTTAACGTAAATATTCTTTTTATTAATGCAACAGGGGAAAAAACGCAAAGAGAAGAATATGATCACGTAATTGCAAATGTTGATGCAAAAGTCAATTTATGATTATATGGCAAGGAAGAAGGAAGAGATGAGGAATGTTAATTACCGCCATGAATGGAAAGGTACTGTAATGAGAGGGATCCGATGGAGAGGGGACAAAAAGAGAGCGAATGAGATGGAGAAACTAATAAAAGAGAAAAGAAGAGGAGAGGATGTTCAGGAATGTTTGTTAATTTCGTTTGCGCGTTAAGCTAATTACTTACTTAATATACACACGTTACGTTTTCTACGCTCAAATATTTCTGGCCCGAGGCCGAGCCCACTTCCAACTGCTTGTTTATTTGAGGACTCCCTCTTCCCTGTTCATGGCGTTGGATTTTGGTTATGTAAACAAGCTTCTTATCGAACCATAACTAGAGGAAGGCAACGAGGTCCAAATAGCTTCGTTTCCCTCATTTTCCTCTTCCAGCTTGACCAGCACATCACACTAGGGGTTTTGTTGGTAGACAAGCAGGGTTTCCCCCTTTCCTCATTTTCTAATCGAGAGCTAAACTCTCCTTTCCATCCGACTCTGTTAAGATCATACTCTCTTCACCTGTTATCATGGAGGCAACAGAGATAATTAGTGCTTACCTCTTGAATAATCTGCTTCTGATATTCCTCTTGGGATTAATTTGCTGTCATTGTTCTCTACGAAGAAAGCTGAATCCACTCTCCTCCCCTATAATCTTATAAAAATTATCGCCTACGCATATATTCGCTTGTCTGCCTCTTTGCTTGCATGCATCCCTTTCCATTTCAAAGCATAAAATTTTATATCCATTTTTTTTTAAAAGGTGGTTCCCGTAAACCAGAGGCATATATCAAGAAACATGAAAACCCAAAACACTCATTCACTGATGCAATAGAGACATTCCTTACAGGAGCTCTGGGTCACTTAATGGAAACTGCGGAAATAGGGGTACAATCACAACTCATCAATGCCCAAAAATAGTGGAAAGATGTTATCTCATAGGAGCTACAGTTTCTACAATTATCCATCGTATCTATACATAAAAGAACCACGCTGGAGCTGAGAGACAAAACAATAAATAATAAATCTACACTGTACAAAAGCTGTGTATATTTCAGGAGTGAGCACATGCTCATGTCTCTACATTGGCTTTGTTTCCAGCAAGGATGAGGGAGATCTCCAGCCCACGGCTAAATGCTTGGTTAAAGAGAAGGCGAGACTGGAAGGTTGAAATGAATGGGAACCACGATAACACTGCCAAAGGTGCAAATATGATAGCTCCCATTCCAGCATCATAAAATCTGGCAAATTCCCGTACTGAATCCCACAAGCCCAGACTCCTAACTACCTTCTTCCATGTTATAGCCAGCTATATACATCAACACAAACAAAAAATGGATTCGAGAAGGTTACGAACAATTACATAACCATAGACAATGGTTTGAACTTAAACCAAAATGAAGCATCAGTGTGTAAAACCAGCTTCCTACTCCACTCAGATTAAAGCACACTGTCGTCTTAAACAGGTTCATGTATCTAGGAGACGACCACTTAAAATACAACTAACAGCGCATGGAATATTAGACTAGCAAGACCATGGCTTCCACAGTCCATATCAAAACAAAATAATCAGAAAAACTCCTTTCCTATGAATTCAAAAATAAGCAATCCAAAGAACAATGTCCAATGCAGACAATAGAGCAAATTATAACTTACACATAATATGGTCCATCCAGTAGGAATGAAAGCAAGGATGCTTGCAAATAGGTCTGCAATTGATAAGTCAGTGAAGGCAACAACAAGGCATAGGGCAGCAACAAGTCCTAAGGATATAACCCCTTGCATAAATCGCATCACCAGTTGGAAGTCAGTGGACTTCTTAGGGCTGTATGTAAATATCTGCGAGCCAATAGATAATCAATCATTAAGCTACCTTAACCAAAAGGCCAATACATTCAAGAATTTTTTTCGAGGGGATGGGCACCTTTAGAAGGTGGGGAAGGGTGATGCCCTTAAAATGAAACCTATACTAACCTTGAACAACATTACAAATCCACCCAACACGACCCAGGAAAATCCATATAGCTGGATAGAAAAAATAACCATCAAGAATCAAGTGGTAATAACCGAAGAATACATTATCTAAATCCTAAAAGACATAATTTGTACTGCAATAAAGTGACAATGCAATTTATATAATCAAGATCACCAGCATATCAAATTTTGTGGATAAGTCCATATATCCATATGGGTACAAATACACACATAAACACGCACACTGTTCATCAACATATGAAACTGTTCTCACTATACTTAATTTCTAGGTACTGTCATTAAGCATTTGATCAAATTCCAACAGCATTGATGGATTCCATTCATTGTTCCACTAAATATTCATCAGCAAAAGCATGCTTCATTGTGCTAATATACAAAATCTCTGTAAGGAGAATATGAAAACCATTTAGTTTCATTACAGCAGTGCCCCAACAGGCACCTCCACAAGAGACACTATGCAAAACAATGCAGGCTATTCATTAAACATGCTCCACTTGCCTAGGTACTCCATTAAATTTATTACTGACATCATTCTAATGAATATGTTTAAAATACTTCTACTATTTTCCCTTTGTGTAATCTAAATACACCTTTACTTAATAAATGAAGTAGGGATTCTAACATTATAAAGTGGCATCAGCATTCACACTAGGAGACCACATAGCACTAATGAAGAAAGAACCTACAATAACCTTAAAACATCATAATTCTTTTGAGTCACAATTTCAAGAGAAGTGGATCTAGCTCTAGCCATACTTGACCCTTCGATGAAAAGAAAACAAAGTGTAAGAAACCATAAAAAAAATGATCTAAATTCTTACTCCAGTAAAAGACCTAGGTTTGCAAATAGGACATCATCGAGAATTGTAGATGATGCACAGTAAGTCTTCGACAAGCAATATGTATGCATGTATTTTGCAGTTATTCAGCCTGCCACTGGAAAGTTCTCATTTTTGGAAACAGAAATGCAATGAAGAATAACATCTATACGTGGATCCAAATGTACCAAGAAAACCTCTACTTCATAATCAATTTTGCAGGCGCATGAAAATATTCTTTGTAATGGCGTTCAGGAATTGTTCAATATTATATATGCTATGCTTGGTAGAACAGACGAAAAAGCTGAATTCCTAATTCATGTGCATTCTAGGAGGAAAAGACAAGTAGATGCCACTTCCTCCATGCCCCCCAAGTGGGATGGAGGCAATTTTGTAGTATTAGAACTCAACTCACATGCTCCCCACATTTTTATCTCGCTAGTTCATCCAATGTACCTCGATTATAGTTCATACAGACGTGAAAAAAAGCATTCCCAACTCGAAACGGTTTGTTAAATGATGAAATGACAAGGGAGGAAAATATTGCAAGTAGGAGGAAAGTTAAGGGAATCAGTTTCAATAACACGCTTCATAGCATTTGAGAAACAAAGCCAACATATGTGAACCAGAAAATCAAAAGGGCAAGAAGCACACCGCAAGTGATGTATTTGATCCTGTAAGATGGAGTTTGTACACAATGCCATACTGAAACATAAGGAACCTTAAGCTTAATATTGTCTCCAATATACGGCCTCTCAGTGTTTGGATATGCATCTGCAGAAGAAATGTAATACTTTCCACAATAAGAAACATAAGACGAAAAGCAGTTATCATTTGACAAACAATGCCAACCTACACAAAAAGTCACTCATATTATACCTAATGGATTCGACAAAGGTGGGAAAAACGGCACTTCGCCAACAAATGAAAGGTGAGAGCTATGGAATAATTATTTTAAATTCAAAATGAGAAGGTAAAAATTAGAACAGAAAAAACATTGAAGCAACTTATCAAGTCCCTCATTACATAATTGTGGGTACCGAAGAGAATCTACCACAGAAAAGCTCCTTCTGAGAATAATTGTTTCATACAGTTAAATGAAAGTTAAACATCTTCAACAGGGCATGGAAATTACAACATGATTCAAGAATAGCTTGCTAACAATTTTAATTAAAGTTTTTTTCAAAAAAAAAAAATCCCTCTTTAGGTGAATAAAGGTAAAAATTTTGAGTAAAAAATAAAGACACACACACAAGGTGTTGAAAAAAAAAATGTCAAATGCTGAGAAACTAAATGAGAACTAAAGAACTGATTGTCATCACAACAAACCTGTTCTTCATCCCACCAAGACTCCCAGCTATCATCTCCCTTCACCCCAACTCCACCTTTATAAAGAAGCCAGCTGGTCCAATCATCAAAGTCTTCCACAGTCCTGTTCATTAAATCACAAAAGTATAACTACACAAGAGAAACCTATGGCAACAGTACAGTTGCAGAAATTATACTCCAATGGCATCTTATAATTAATTCTGCAAAGTTTGAAGATAAAAGCTACATCAGCAAAACCGAAGTTCTATGCTACTTACTTTTGCCATTCGAAACCGGATGGATTAAATATGTAAGGGGCAAACAGCCATGAGATGACAAGGAACCAGCTGCTAAGAGTAAGCAAAACAAAAGAAACAGCACCTCCTTCTGTGTAACCATATGCAATGTATACAATGAGAAGCAATGCCACTTCAAGCCTGAGATAAATTAAGTTTTGAAAGCTTCAAAATAAAAGCAGATGTGATCTTTAATATAAATAACATCAACCCAGCTTGGTTCCCACTGCAGCTTCAACTTTTTCTCGTGACAAATGATATTAATTGATAATTTTGGATTTTCAACAAGAAAGTATTCACTTACGCCTTAACAAAATGGCTTCTTGAATAAAGCCTGTAATTTTCAGCAAACTTGATATGGCGCACCACAAAGCCTCTACCAGTTGCTCTATACTGTTGGGGCAATTTCAAAAGATGAAAATACATCAATTAAATTTGCAAAACAAGAAATACAATCATTAAATATATGATTAAAAGCAAACCCATACTTTTGCACCACCATGGAGAATAGTACGTCCAAAATAATGAGTTCTAGTTCCTAAAGAGAATGTGAAGAAGACAGAACATAACTGAAGTTGCATCGTAATAAAACTGAATACAGCCTGCTCATCAACCAAGCAAAAGATAATTAGAATAACAAAACCAATACAGTGCTGAACATATTAGAACCAAAAAAAAAAAGACAGAGCAGCTTAACAAGGACAATGAAATTAAAAAATGTAAAAAGTTTAATGCATAA